TCTATGGATTTTACCATCCACCATGTTGACGTCACATTTGCTTCAACACACAAGTAGCTGCTCGCACGGGAATGCGGACGTCCTGCGAAAGCAGACTCCGAGAAAGACGGACATTGCGAGCGCAAGACAGTTTGTGTGACACCCTCATGGAAAACAAACGTTGAAATGCATATGATGCAGCTTTTAAGTAAAAGGCAGTCAATTTGGCAGTAAACGAAGGAAATAGAACCGCTGCACGTAACCTTGGAATCAACGATCAATGGTGAGACGTTGGAGACGCCAGCAGGAAGAATTGTCTCAATTCAATTGTGTTAAAATGTTAATAAATAGGAGCTTCCCCGAACAGTTGCCTCTTTCCCGACAATCCTCTCTGTGCACAAACCTTATGGTAATTGAACATAAAAAACCTGCGGCTTATAGTCCGGTGCGGCTTGTATATGTAAAAATCATGCTATTTAGCTTCTGCGGCTTATATTCAGGTGCGGCTTATAGTCCGAAAATTACGGTAAATATCTGTAAAAACACCACAAGCATTTATTCCATGTCTTTGAACCCTTTTCACACCCATTTCATCCCTCAGTTATGCGCTTTAACAATTTAATAACTACCTTAAACGTGGTTCTCAGGTTGTTTTGTGTTTTTTTTTAAAGATGACTTGCAGTCCTGACATTTCTCACATATCTGCGACAGGGTGTCTTCACCTTCAATGTCCAATATTTACTGAAACCTCAAAACTTGACATCTCAGTAAGACTTTTGCTGATTGTTTTGTCAGGTAACTGATTAGCATTGAAACGGCGCCTTTCAGACCTCATTTTCCTTCTTTCAGTTTTTTGTTGACTCGCTTTGCGTGCAACAAAGCACCCTTTCGCCCAGTGGATGTTTGAGTGTGCAAAGAGGTGACATTCTGACAGGCGGTGACTTGTGATTGTTGTTTTTAACCCACACACCTGGGGTTCCCTCTTCAGAGGTAGACTGTGTTTATGCCTGCTGATGTTTCTGTAAGCCAAAGCTTTACAGCTGCTTAGCTGGATCTGTTGTCTGACCCTGCGTTTAGCTGCACTCCCTCCTCTCAAGTAAACGGCTAAAACATTGTTGTTACTCTGTCCCTCCTCTCTGACCATCCCCTATTTCCTCTTTTCCTTTAAGAGCTGTTTTTAAATATTTCAGACAAACAGAAAGCAGTTTATGGATCATAATACAGGGCTGTTTAAAAAAAAAAAAAGAAAAAAAAAGGCATGCTGCAGTCTGTCATCCATTTAGACCTGGTGGTTGGCAGTGAATCACGCTCCTTCTTTGATAGCTTAAAGGATCTGGAAACAGAACACCCCCTCTACCTCACTTCTCGCTTTGGTCTCCTCTGTTTTCCGTCCTTATCATCTGCTCGATAATTTTCCCTACAATTAGGGGTTTTGTGTGGTCGTTTGTGTTCTTAATTGAAAACAGCAGCCGTCCCTCCCCAAACTTCCGTTTGCAGATCCTCTGCTGACAGAGGAAAGGCTGGAATTGGTATATCAAGCTTTTGAGAGATTTTTATGGGGGGTTTCTAGTAGCCTGACGTAATCCTACTCAATTCTAGTCAGAATGTGAGTCTGATACTGCTCCATAGAGCTGTGATTAT